CACATTCGTAGGACTGTCACCCCCATGGATCGAATGGTATTGTCCTATTGTTAAACGCTAACCAAAATTAGTAATCAACATGGCGGACTCGACTCGCCGGAATGCCCGGGCGTCGATCATAAAAAGTGTGGATAGCTGCTCGAATTCGCCACTCCGGTTCAAATTTTGAGCATAAACGAATATTATACAGTACAAGGATTGCTGCCGCTGCCCCGCGCGTTAGGTATTCCCCCCTGTTCGCCTCCGCGCGTGCCCGGACACTCCCTCGCGTGTCCGGGCGTTAAATAGTAGGACCCCCCCCCCTATTGCGGACGCAATGTCAATTTTTCATTAGAATAGCGCATTGAATTGTGGGAAAACCAATGTTTATCAACACAAATGTCGCACATGCGCGGCTGGACCACCACCACCCTATAGGCAAATTAAGGAGGGTCGCTAGAAGGGGGAATCTTACAAAGGAATGTTTGGAGTATTTAAGAATAACAAAAATTTATGGTCACTAGCGTCAAAAGGTTGTCTAACACAAAGTAATTCAGGACATAGACTAACTTATAACAATTATCTTTTTTTTTTTTTTAAATATGATTTTAATACCTGATGGATCAAAGTTCTGCATAGGCAAATAACACTGAATCATGCTAAATTAACACCAATTTTCAATAGGATTACAATTTTCATAATTTCTTTAAATATAGCATTACAGCAATTTCCTAAAACTCTGCATATAGCTTATTTTGTTTGCCCTCTAATCAAATAAGCTTTAAAAAAATAAGGGGTCACCGATCTTGATTTCAAGATGGGTACACATTGGAAATCCCATGATTCCTGGTAATATTAGTAAGTTTTGTGCATATCGGGATAGACCCAATTGCATTCACACACAAGATTAGCACGGGCTAAGGAACACTGAAACATATTAAAACACACAAACATCTTCAGTCATTTTAACCACAATTACTCTAAATTTTCATTCTAAGAAACAATTAAATTCTCTAATACATACGTGCGTTGATTGTTTTTGTGCATACTACACATACGTATTAGTGGGTTTAATTTGTCATTTAACAATACTGTTGTCTCCTGCAAAACTAAGGTCAAAAACATGATCAAGTTTTTTTTTTAGCTCCGCTGTCGACGAAGTCGAGCGGAGCTTATAGTAGTACTGATTGTTCGTCGGCAACAACTTCACATTTTCGACGTCTTCTTAAAAACCACAAACTGTATAGCTGTGAAACTTTCTAGGAAGGTACCTTGGGTGGTTCTCTCTCAAGATTTGTTCATTTCGTGTGGATATGTTCAATTGTCTTATTTATAGCGAATATTTTTGTCATTTGTGGTCAATATTGCTATTTTCGACTTCTTGAAAACCGCTAGCCCAAATGCTTCGATACTTGGTATGTAGGTACCTTGGGTGGACCTCTCTCAGATTTGTTCATTTCGTGATGATATCTTCATTTCTCTAATTTTGATGAATATTTTTGGTAAAAAATTATATTCTCGACTTCTTGAAAACTGCTAGTCTGTTTGCTTTGATATTGTATATGTAGGTACATCAGGTGAACCTGTTTGTTGATTTTGTGACATGTTCAATTCTCTAAATTTGATGAATATTTTTGTCATTCTTGGTAAAAAAATATATTTTCGACCTCTCCTTGAAAACTGCTTGTCCAATTGCTTTGATATTGTATATGTAGATGTATCAGGTGGACCACTGACAGATTTGTTGATTTTGTGACAATGTCTTTAATTCTCTAATTTTGATGAATATTTTTGTAATTTTTGGTCAAAAACGTTATTTTCAACTTCTTCTTGAAAACTGCTAATCCGATTGCTTTGTAACTTTATTTGTGGGTACCTTGGGTGAATCTCTGTCAGATTTGGTAATTTCATGACGATATCTTCAAATCTCTATTTTTAGCAAATATTTTCGTCATTTTTCATCAAAAAAAATATTTTTGACTTGTCCTTCAAAACCAGTAGTCCAAATTCCTTGATACTTGTACACATGCAGCTTGAGTAGACCTCTATTAGATTTGTCCATTTCTTAAAGATATCTTCACTTCTCTACTTTTAGTGAAATATTCTCTGCAACAAAATCAAGAAAGTTGGTGTCTTGCGATATTAAAGCAGCTAGCATTAAGTTTAAATTGCTGCTTAGTCATTGCTTTCAGAGCATGCATCACAAACAGCGGAGCTATATTAGCCGACAGGCTGCTAGTTTATTTTTATTAAAAGTGTTACATATGTAATATTGAAAAAAATATTGCATTCAAAGTTTGCACAGGCGATTGATTTTGCCAACTGTTGTCATGGTAACAAAATACTGGATTGGAAGAAAACAGACCAACAAAAAGTAACATATGTTTTATTAACATACAATTATGGTCATATTGCATATGGCCACATATTGCACAGATTGTATCACATAATATCACTAATTTGTAGAGATTGTTGGAACAAAAGTGAAAATAACAAATCCAAGTGTGGATCAACAACCACAAGTCGCATAGAGAAATACAAATTCATGAACAAAGTTCATCTACATTTGTACAACCAAAATACACAAGACAATATTCATTACAAGACAAGTCAAATCAGTGAAAGAATGGTATATGAACCTCAAGGTATGCAACCAAGAGGTGTCAGCATCTTTGTTGGCTAAGGCTTTCACTATGAATGTCTTGTGTGGCCAGACATTGATAGTCGGTTTTAGCAAAACTGCGATTTGGACGATGCAGGCGTCTCAGAAATTATACCGCATTTGGTCATGTGACCCATTGTTCTGGCTTTTGGTTTATTTTTGTAAATCCACACGTGTCTCTTTGTCTTGATGTTAATTGTAATCTGGCCACAATTTTTACAGTTGTATTCAAATGCTGAGTGCATACTGATAACTGGAATATTTTGTAAACCAATGTTGTCTATCAGACCTTGCAAGGACTGAGTGGCTTTAGTCAAGGTGCAACATCAGGAGTTGACAAGGAAATAGACTTCTTCCTCAATTTTTGAAAAAAGGTGGTCAAGGAAGGGGTTCAAACCCACAACATCAACCACAGCATGTAGATCCTCTAATGAGTGATTGCTGGGGGAAAAACAGGTATTAGAAAGGTTGTATCAATGTCAAGTGTTATGCATTGAATTATTCATGAGAAAATACATATTTTTTATTTATGGAAATTACTTATGTAAGTTCAGCACTGTGCACTGATAATGCAAACAATGCTGAATTTTATCATTTTTTCATAGTACATGTATAAGTCCACCTGGTGCAATTTACTCAACTCTGACCAGAATAGTCTGTTTATATCTGTAAATACACACTTTCTCGTGATGTTTCTAATATGGCACCTGCCATATATTATTCCTAGTCATAATCAAATAAATTCTGTTAAAAACATGAGGTCTACCAAAGTGACATGATGGCAATCTGAAATCATCTGTGTGAGTTATTATATTTAGGACAAGACATTGCCTACTGACGTTTTCCGTGGAAGCCTGCAGCAGGCAATGTGGTAAACACAAGTTAATTACCTTTTGAATGTTACGACTCGTCATTCTATAGAAAACCTGTGGTTCAATAGTTTGGACAAAAGTACATTTCTTTATAAATTCTGCATATGTAATACAGGGCAGGACATAACAAATGAGTAAGAAAATGTATACCCAATAGGGGTAGGAAATTGCGGGATATTGCAGTGGAGATGTTGGTAAAATTTAAGTCATTCTTTTTGTTATACAGTCAGGTAGAAAGCTGGCCAATAGAGTCAAATTCAAGGCACATATCTATAAATAAAAGTATGAAGCAGATCCTGTACAAATGGATGTCGTGGGATGAATTATGAAAACAGTGTAAAACAACTTTACAAATAAATTTCACATAACCAAGAACTAAACAGATTTTCTATAAATTGATAAATCACATGCTAATTACACATGATTGAAAAATGTGGCAATGGTAGTACAGTTGCAATCATGATGTTTTTTTAATATTACACTATCATAACAATATATTTTTAAAATTAAAGTTTCAGTTAGCATTAAGGTGTATGCTGTGTGATTTTTCTTTTCAATTTTATAGCTTGATAAAAATGCTAATGTTGCAGCATTGCTTTTGCTGTACATACTGATACAGATGAAAAGATGATATTTTTCCATAGACCTTGGATATGGATACTTGAATATCATGATGATTACCATACCATATCACCTGTGATATTTCAGGGGCACAGTCATGTGAGAATAAACTTTGTACAATTATTGGTAGAAAATGAAAGAGAGAGATCATTTAGCTAAAGTCACCACAGCAAATTTTGTGCACAGTCAAATTAGTCATAGCAGCCTTAAAATGATTGCCTCAGAGCTGCTAGGCATGATGTTTCCTCTCAGCTCATATGCATAAAGTTGATCTCTCGCAAACAATCAAACATCACTGCTAAGATCCAGCAAAGCAACTGACACCTTGAGCAGTTGAAAGAATCCACTCTGCATATAAGCCAAATGTTGTTTACAATGTAGCTAAACTATATCCTGACTATTGGAGTTGATCAGTTATAGGGTGCCATGAAACAGTCATTAGGTATTACGTTTCATTCTGTTCTTCTAATTTGCATATATAACTGAGTGCTGTCAGCAATGTAGTTAGACAGTAACCCTCTTCTCCGAATAAATACCTGCAAACGAAATTGAAAAGTATGTTAATTCTACAGCTACATAAGATAAAATCGAAATCAAGACTCAAGTTAGATTTGAAACAAGTGACATGTTGATTAAACTAACTTGATCATTGCATTCAGACTGTAGTAAGCATTATCCAACAATTATTATAAGGAAATAAAAGAATCTAAATCAACTTCAAGGAATAATATAGGAATATTATTCAAAACTGTGTCAGGCAACAGTACCTGACATTGAATGTCATTGCTGTTTCTATCTGACATTTTATATGTGTACATTACAAAGTACAAGAGCTGTGTGACTATCATTATGGCAATATAGTCCACTATCCTATTGTCACCTATGTTAGGTTAGATACAAGAATCTTCGTACCCTGACCAAGGGACCTGCAAATCATATTGTGTTAGTAAATGGCATGAACAAATCAACAAATAAGGGGAATAACGTGACTGATTTACCGACTGACTTACTAACTGTGAATGGCATTTTTTAAAAGACTTCAGGGAAATCATATCATTAATGTGGATGGAAAATATGAATTATTGAATCATACCCTTCGTGTATGAATTCTTCCATTGCACTACACTCTGATACCAACTGTGGTGACTGAGACTTGATAATTACAAAACTGAAAATAGGTAAAAGATCATCACATCCTCTGAAAGAAAACACAACAAGTTTACTTACATTTTATTTATGATTTCCTACTGCAATTGTTAAGTCATCATTTACAATTTTTACCATAACATCTGCACATACTTCTTTTTTTTGAATTGATTTTTTATTAAAGTGCATAGTATACAAGATACAATCTTACAGTGTCTGGGAAACCTTCAACAAATATACATTGTATATAATATTGTCAACTGAATGCATTTATTTTTCTAATAGGTCAAGTAATTTACCCCATTTTTTTCTGATGAGTACCCAGTTTTGATCTTTTGTTTGCAATTTTTTACAAAAGATTACAAAAGTTGGAATTTGTTGTTTACACCTGGAGATGTATATAAATCTCTTTATTACCAAAATCAGAAAACTGTACATACTTACTGTACAAAACACAGGATAGTCCTATTTGCAGAATTATTTTTTTCTCACTCTCAATTTCTTATTTCTAAACCACCACTACTGTCATGATGAGCATTCTTGCTACTACACTGACAAACTGGTTGTCCATATGAAAGTGTAGTTGTCCAATAATTTTTATTTTTCAACTAAACAAATATTACAATTTACTGATCTACCAGTGTATCTATATTATCTTGAGGTAGGTAGCAATGTTTAAAACTAAACTTGTTTTCAAGAAAAATGCATATTGCAATGGACTACAAATATTGCATACAAATGTTTATTTCTAAAACAAAAATGTATTAACTAAATGGACAACCATATTCAAGATTCCAGAGCAACTGGACAACCACCAATTTTAAAACCAGGGTAATTAGGATAGCTACAGGATGTCATGGGGGGGGGGGGACTTTGATACGAGGAAAATTGATGAAGCAGCACTTTAACTTCAAAACATTCAACAGTAAAAATACTTGTTACTTATGAAAAGGCAGTGTCAGTCTTGGTCATCATTTTAAATTTGATAGCACAATGCATTGTGGGAAATTATGTTTTTTCGATGCGACCCACCACCAAAAATGAATAGCACAACAATCACGGCACTTCAATATATATATATATATATATATAACTCATGTCTGTAAAAATATATTACACTATATGACACAGATCTATACTCACATAGCTGAGTCTGGTCCATGTCTTGGTTTACCCAGCATCTCAAAGTAATCTTCAACACAGTTACATATTGCACGTGAAGTATTAACTGTAAACAGTAAAGATGTATAATATAATGTGTTAAATGTTATGATTGTAAATGCATGTATTAAGTCATACTGTCAATTGCATAATTTTCGCTAGTAGAAATTTTCACAATTTGAGAATTGTATGGCATTTGTAAAGACAAAATGTCATAGAATCTCTGTAAAATTTTCACTGATACAAAATTTCATGATTTCCACTGCTTCGCAAAAATCGTTAAACTAAAGCAGTTAGAAATATTCGTGGCAAGTGTATAAAAATCTCATAAAAACAAATAAATAATAATAAATACATGCTGTATGTTTCAAATAAATCCAAATATGGCCTTTTTATGGAATACTGTTTTCGGATGTGTTATACTATATATTATAGAGTTTATTACGATAGTGTACATGAAAACAACCATTACAATCTCCATGCAAGTGCTATATATTCACCCATGTGTTACACACAATGTGCAAGACAGGCTGAACACAAATACCATATACTCTCCACTGTACTCGATACATACAAGCCAAGCTGAACACAAATACCATATACTCTCCACAGTCTAACTCAATACATACAAGCCAAGCTGAGCACATATACAATATACTCTCCACTGTCTAACTAAATACATACAAGCCAAGCTGAGCACAAATACCATATACTCTCCACTGTCTAACTCAATACATACAAGCCAAGCTGAGCACAAATACCATATACTCTCCACTGTCTAACTAAATACATACAAGCCAAGCTAATCACAAATACCATATCCTCTCTACAGTCTAACTCAATACATACAAGCCAAGCTGAGCACAAATACCATATACTCTCCACTGTCTAACTCAATATATACAAGCCAAGCCAAGCTGAGCACAAATACCATATACTCTCCACTGTCTAACTCAATACATACAAGCCAAGCTGAGCACAAATACCATATACTCTCCACTGTCTAACTCAATACATACAAGCCAAGCTGAGCACAAATACCATATACTCTCCATAGTCTAACTCAATACATACAAGCCAAGCTGAGCACAAATACCATATACTCTCCACTGTCTAACTCAATATATACAAGCCAAGCTAATCACAAATACCATATACTCTCCACTGTCTAACTCAATACATAAAAGCCAAGCTGAGCACAAATACCATATACTCTCCACTGTCTAACTCACTACATACAAGCCAAGCTGAGCACAAGTACCATATACTCTCCACTGTCTAACTCAATACATAAAAGCCAAGCTAATCACAAATACCATATACTCTCCACTGTCTAACTCAATACATAAAAGCCAAGCTGAGCACAAATACCATATACTCTCCACTGTCTAACTCACTACATACAAGCCAAGCTGAGCACAAATACCATATACTCTCCACTGTCTAACTAAATACATACAAGCCAAGCTGAGCACAAATACCATAAAACTAATGTATTTACCTATACATTCAAGTTTATCCAATGGCGACTGGTAACTTAAAATCTTTTTAATCTCTGATACAGCTGATTTGTAAGGATAGAAGCTATCATCTAAGAGTACAAGTTCAGTAGAATCTAATAGACACAGTTTTTTTCGTACACCGACATGCCTTGGAGAAGCGTTTATATACCTTGTCATAGTGGCAGCAGCAAGTTGTTCTTTATCAAAATTGACTAGCCTGTGTGAAAGACATTGGGACAGTTTAATATGTATACAGTACATATAAAACATACTTCGTTAAATATTTTTAATATTGAAAAACACTTATACAAACACGTAATCATTTATACCTTCCTCCCCAACTGTCATAAGTCTGCTGCAGGGTATTAAAAAAAAAATCTTATGTGCGTATCCCTCTACAGGCTGGCTCACTAATACAACTAGTAGGTTACTTAGAGGGCTACAAAATGTACATACACCTCAGTGGCAGACAATTTTCTCTAGATATTATTGCATCAATAGTAATTTTTCAAAAATGTGATTCCTCAGGGAGCTCACAGGAGAAAAAAAGTAAGTCCATGACAATTAGATGTTATATAACGCTAGAGGTTGTATAAGTGCTTTGAGCCGAACCTAATACTGTGGAATACTATATTTTCGCTGCAATATATTTTCGCTGAAAAGACTTTTTAGGCGTTTTGTATGGAATTTATTTTCACTGATTTTTGACGAGTTTAATGTGAAATATAGGGAAAATGTATATTCGCTGGATTTTATTTTCACGGAATCACCCTTTCAGCGAAAAATGGCGAAAATAAATTCCAAGCGAAAATGAAGTATTCTACAGTAGTTGATGCAATTATATAGCATTCATAATGGCTATTTGTAGAGGTTGCTGCTGCTGGACGAAAACACTAAGCATCGTCAGATTGCACAACTATATATAACGCAGTTTCTCTGTATTCCATCCTGTAAGTTAAATCTCCATAAATCACAGCACAGCACATGACAAATGTGATAATTTAAGCAGTAACCTGGAGGAAGGCAATTGAAAGCATCTAAACTCATAAACCAGCTTTACCTGAAAAGTGTGAGTAAATATGGCCAGACTGGCTGAAAGAAGGGTTTCTCAACAGATGCTATACACTGGTCTTTACCCACTGGAGTGTTAAGATCTTCGTAAATAATCATAAACATTGTCTGAAGTTTATCTGAAAGCAGAGATATATTTCAATTTATAGCTAATACTGTAATAAATGTAAGAACTGGAAACAAAATAAAGCAAAGTTATCAAGCGATTTGATTCCCCAATGTATATTCCATTCCATAAATGGACACATTAAAAATTGTTCACGAATTTAAATTTACACAACACTTAATATTCAATCAATAATCAAACATAGTTTAACTCTGGTGACCTCGCCCTTTGTTATATAATATTATTTCGTTTATCATAGTTTGAATATGAATATGCATTGTCATAATTAATTTTGAATATAAACAAGTTTTAGGATTGAAACAGCAGTGGAAAAGCAGTCTACCAAATGGTCTTGGTTGGTGTAAATATCTTACAAAAACATTGGTGCCAAATTTGTTTAATTATTTTAAGGACATAATGTCTAGTTGTCTGAACAGGACAACAATTTGTAGTTGTATACATGTGAGGGGTATAATTCATGGCACATATTAGGGCCAAAAAATTACTTTACAGAGGAAATATTATTCATAGTCTGTCAGCGACAACAGCAACAATGACAGATATTTTCCTTTAATATACCTTTCCCTTTCATCTTTGATGATACAGTCAAGGTAAAAAGTGAATGAGCAAATTATAATCATATGTTTGACAGTAATCTCCATTAATGCTAAGAAACAACACTAGAACCAAGTCTTGGCTGAGAGCAGAAGGGGTGTGAGCCACGGTCAAGCGTCGTCGCAGAAACCTGCTCTGTGATGTGAGTTGCAGATTTGATTTACATCACAGAGAGATTAGCATGGTACTTGATCAAGGCCAGTCAACGCAGGGGTCACCACCTTATGGTAAATGCAAGAGCGATTCTCGAATTCATCTTAAGGATTACACAAATAGTGGTTTTTTTCCACGAAACCAAAAACACACCCTGGGAAATGTGATCAGTGGATCAGTGCCTATTCTCGTGCCGATCACTTTGAAAGACACTTGATCACGCAAGACACATACAGTACTCGACCACATTAGCACCCAGTCAATCATAATTATTTAGGGGTGGTCGCATACCCGAGCATCCCCTCGGAAAAGAGTGCACATGACAATTTTAATTGACTTTTCTATGCCACAGATTGGGGGAGATATTACGTCTTTGAGGGAAATAAAATTACGAAATTAATCAAGTTGTCATTGAATGAAGAAACAGAAATGGGCACAAAAAATATGCACATTTTATTACAATATTAATTACGTACCACCATAATATATACAAATGACATATTCTTGCACGATTTTACCTAATGGGTCATGTATGTTATTAACCAATCAGAATGCTGTAATTATTGGAAATTCTCCAAGACTTTCTGGTAACGCAGTGCAGAAGTGAACTGTCAATGTCAAAACACGATCTGTTGGAATAGATTTCAGCGAATAAACGGCATGATTTTTTTCAAAAAGTGGTAACTAGCAATTTTTGATAGGTACCGGTAAACTGAATATGGCATGAAGTATTTGCTGCATTTTACTTTTATTAACAGGTCATTTTTGAAGTGTAGTTTACGCACGGTTACCATGGTCTAAGCATTCACAACATATTCACGGTGGTTGATATCCACGCTGTATCATACAAAAGCAATTACCGGTACCAGTATTCGTTTTATGATTAGACAGTCAAATTAAAATCATTTTGAAGGGAATGGGCGCTTAGCCGAGCATGCACTTTATCGGAGGCAATGTTCCGAATTCATCACATTAGACCCAATACCAGCCACTGTGTAGAATTCGATGTTGAAACACCAAATTTACATAAAAGGCTCTTGAGCCATGGCACTGTGTGTTTGTCGACATCGTCCATCATATAAACGTTAAAAGTACGATAAAACAAAGACAAGCACATTATAAACTTACCCAGATACTTATGGACATCTTTAGTAACATCTTTCAAATGCCTTTTCAAAGCAGCACTATGCATTTTATGAATTTTCCCCTCAACATCCAATTCATCTGAGAAGTCATCAGTGAGTTCATCGCTACTTGAAGCGGAATCACTTGACTTTTTCCGTTCCACACAAGTTATATTTGAAGTCTCAGGCTTTGATTCAAGACTGGCTTTTACATCTTGTGGTTTGTCAACAATTGAATTTTCCTTTATTCCAATTTCTGAACTTTGTTCATCTTTCAAAATTCCTGCTGTCCTTTTCTCATCTTTTTCACTGACTAAACCTCCTACACAATCACCGTCTGTAACTGCAGTCTTAGAATCAGCAATAGTCACTATTTCATTTTGCTTTGATCCAGGATTTTTTTCCTCACATTTGCTATCCTTATTCACATCATTTAATGACACAGCATCATCAACATCCTCTTTCACATCCACATCATCTTGCTCTGATAACTGCTTCATAATCTTGCTTCCACTGCTCACAGCCTCCTCTAAATCACCATGCAGTGATTTAATAACTCCCTCCATTGTCATGCAAGAATTATCCTCACCATTGCCGTGGTTATCATTGTGATCTTCATCCTGATCATGATTCTCATCGACACCAGGAAAAACACCATCCCCATCCTTAGTTGCAGTCTCATCAGGTGAAACAATACGACTCCCACCAGTGTTATCTCTATCTATCTCCGCCATTTTCAACTGCTCAATGATGCCCTCCATATCTACATGCATACTACTAATAGTCTCTCTACCTTCCGGTGATTTCATCTCATCCAGAGTCTCCTGAATCAATCTCTCTTTTATCTGAATCTCCTCAATATGATCAGGACTATCTTCAGTTTCTGTCACTGAGAAATCAATGGGTTCAATCCCCGGGTATGGGATTTTCACTGCTTCCAACTCGTGCATATTATGTTGAACAATTGTGTAAAGCTTCTTGTAAATATTGTACTGATATTTTTGAAGTAGTTGACTGATGGGGTGTTCTTTGCAGCTCACTATTTGGTTGACAAGTTCATTAATGAGATTCGGACTGCCTGGAGAACATTTCAATTTTATTCTCCATTCATTCAACCAGACCTGTAAAACAAATATAGATAAGAGAAAGCATAGAAAGAACTCCTGTGTGCTAAGGGTATTGGGGGCATGAAGTTAAAAAAAAAAGGAATACTGAATTTACATGTACTATATTAGAAGCACATCATAAAGCAAAAACTGCATTCATCGCATGTAAAACAAGTGAAAATCCTTAAAATTGCAATTTATATACAAATTGGGTAATTAAGATTTCAAGATTGCAACCAGAAACTAATCAGGTCTGTGCATTACCCCAGACTAACTTTGTATCTATCAAGTTATTGAAATCTACAGTAGTCGCTTTTAGAGATCATTTCAAAATTTTCTTGTTACGTTCAAAGATATATAATTTAATATAATGATGCCATTCATTAAAATCCTATCTAAGTAAATAATCATAAACATCATCTGACGTTTATCTGAAGGCAGAGATTTATTTTGATTTACTCGATATTGCCAATGCTGTAATAAATCTCAAACATTTGTATAAACTTGAAGATTTGTCAATTTGACAGGAAACAAAATGAACTAACTTATTGATGAAGACAAAATGTTGCTAAATTGCCCCCCCCCCTCCAAACACTACATGTACATGAGGTTCCTCCGATTGCAGTATTAACACTTGGTGGTTTGAGTAATATGCCAGTAAAATTTGGATGTACAAATTATAAACAAGACCTGGCCAAGAAAGTGTTATGGCTGCAATATACATCAACAGAGTAAACACAAACTGTACAATATAAGTCACTGTAAATAATTTAGTGATTTTGACATTTCAAATAATGTACAAGAAAGATTAACTTTAACATATAGCCTGCTGAATGGAAGAAAAAAACGTCAGCAGGCGTTGTGTTAGAAATACTGTAGAATACTTTATTTTCACTTGGAATTTATTTTCGCTGAAGGGATGATTCCGTGAAAATAAAAATTTTTTTCCTATATTTCACATTCAACTCATCAAAAATCAGTGGAAATAAATTCCATAAAGAACGCCCAAAAAGTCTATCCAGCGAAAATTAATTCCAGCGAAAATAAAGTATTCCACAGTAATAAATAAAACCTAACACAAAGCGTTATACGGACATGTTCAAGAATTAAGAGTCAAATTTGATTCAAAAAATAGCCAGCAGAGTAATTTCAGAGTTGTAAGTACCACGTAGCATACAAGTACAATACTGACAGTTGTTGTTATGAGCACTGCCCCCATGAAAACTACAGAGACAGACTTTAATAGCTGATACTTACATTGGAATGCTCAAATTCCATAACATTTGCATATACTTGTCTTCTCTCTACTTCCTCAGGCGTGGGGGCTGTCAATGAAGATGTAAACTTGAGAGCGGCTTCCTCCTGAAGACGTGCTTGCCTTTCAGCAATTTTCTTTTGTAACTGAAACACACTGATGTAAGGTAGTTACTGATTTCCGATAAAGCTCAAACTTGTAAATACTGTGATTAATATTTTTTAATTTCTTTAATTCAATCTTGTGAAATGATCACAACTATCAATTTAAAGTGCCTGTGCAATGCCCACCGTCACGTTTCCCACTTTAGATCTGTATCCCACTGAAATGGGCAGTTATTGATTTTTTTGCTGAAAATGATTACTCGTATCCAAGTAATTTTGGGATATTTCTCGTGTTGTAGCCACGACCACCTATCTTAAAACGGTCGACTGTTTCCGGATTTCCGACTCTCGCCGAAAGTGCGCCACCAAATGACAAAATGTGAGAGGAAGTCATACCCCTGAGCCGTAATAACACTGGTCATTCAATATACTTTTAAACGATATATATTTTTCGGTCGACGTTTGTTTGTTTTTTTTGTCTATTTTTTTTTTTTGAGAGAGAGAGTTTTTAGATGTTGTGTTGTGGGCAGTTGCAGTGAAACGTATAGTCATAGTGTATGTATTCACACGTTTCTAATCGATCCGAAGGTGCGACATCACTTAACCTCAGATTCTTTTTGGGGGGGGAAAAACTGTTCTCGTCCATGAAAAAAAAAAATAGGTTTAAAGAGTAACTCCGACAACGCAAACCTGGCGCAACACTTTTGAATGAAATAGATTCCGGAAGCGGATTTCAGAAGAGAGAGAGAGAGACATCCGACAAGTGTTTCAAATGAGTTGACTTTTTGCGATCCTGATTATCGTTTTATAGAGACCATTTAGTCCCTGTTAAGTAAAAGGTAGCAATAATATTGACAGTGACACGAAAACGAAGCGCCGGACAAGCAGGAAATTACACAGCAATTACACACTGCTTTCAATTGTTTTCATTTTCAAAGGCTAAAAGTTTCTGATTTGTTTGGTGATTGGTGTTGAGTGTCAAATTCACACCTCTGTTCTTTTTTTACCTCCATGCTTGCAGCTTGATCTGTGTAATAATTTATGAAATACGAATCCGGGCTTGGTCAATGTGTTTCCACCAAATAAAGTTTTAATACGATGTTATAATTATGACAATCACGCCATGAAATACGCTAACTCGAATCCACTCTGAATTTAACGCACTTGCCCTCGCCGTGACCCGACACGTTCGCATATTTCAACAAAATG